AGTTAGTAAAAATCTAACAAACTAAATTAAAATATCAAGATTTGAAGACACCATCAGACCCAAATGCTCGAAGGACCCCATCGAGCTCTTCGATCCACAAAATTTCAACTTATCATCATTTCAATTCTTTTTCACGCCATCATCCTCATCTATCCACAATACTTCATCTCATCATTTCAATTTTTTCCGCTAGTTTCCACTAATAAAATCCCATTCTATTCCGCTATAATATTATATTATTTCTCCCACATTCATTTCCAATTATTCTCATCGTTCTTGATCTCATTTGTTAACTAGAGTTTATCTTTATTTTGATATTATATATCTTTTTTTGTTTAATTTAATAAATAGTCTAATAATTTTTATATTTTTTATTTTATCTATTATTTTTAAATACTTTCAGATTTATTTACTACTTTTTACCTATATTTTAATTTAGTTTAATTTATTAACTTTTTAACAATAGTTTTATTTTGTTGGATTAAAGTGATCTTTAATTATATATTTTGTGAATTTTTATTTTTTAAAATTAATTTTGAAATAAAACTAATTTTATGAAAATGATAAATTCTTTTTTACTGTTTGAGGAACTTTAACCTTTATCATATATTACTTCACCTTCCACTTTTAATAATTCTCCATTGTAATAGACACCATAATTATTGATATATTTTAATAATTTACACAGTTTATTGTAAATTGTTTTACTTGCTAAAACTACTCTATTTAATTTTAATTTAACTTTTTTATTATTTTTTCTATTAAAACTAATGAAAGTTTCGTATAGTAGATTATTTTAAAATATTTTACAAAGTTTATAAATTATTTATAGAGAAAACTAACTTTTTAAATTAAAATAAAATTAGGCTAATAATTAATACACCAATCATTAATTTAAGCCTATCTTTCTTCTTATCAATTTAAACTCTGAAGTTTAATCATTATTTTTCATTTCTATTTGCATGAATTTTTTTTTACCTATTTATTAAATTTTGTTCCTATTAAGGTCTAAAATTCTTTACAACCCAAAAATTAAAAAGAGATTGTTGCTAGATTGAATTTTTTTTATAATATCTATGCAAATTTTTATTATATGATTAATTTTTATTAAAAAATTTAAAAATTATCTATAAAGATTCATCTTATATTACCCTAATTTTTTTTTTTTTTGTCTCTATTTGGATAAAAATTAGTAAAAGAAAGGAAAGGGAGGAAAAGGGAAGGGAGGGGAGGAGAAGTGAAGGGAAGGAAAAAATTAATGAAGTTTTGTTTGCACAAACGAAAATGAAGAGAGGAAAGGATCATGTTTTCATTTAATTAAATAATTTTAAAAAGTAAAATAAAAAAGAATAACTTTTTTAAAATGTATTAATTAAATAAATAGTTAAAATAAAATATTTATAACATTTATTTAAAAAAAAGGTTAAAAGTAAAAATAAATTAAGCAATGCAATCCATTCTAATTCTTTCAAATTTAAGGGATTAAAAAAAAAAGACTTAATATCTTTCCATCTCCCTCCCTCTCATTAAAATTGTTTGGATTTAAAATTGTTAATCCAAACGATTAAAAGTGATCTTCGCCCCTCCCTCTCCAATCCAAATACAGTGCTAACTCAACTTAAATGCATCCACTCCATTGTCGTCATCTGTTCACAAGATTTTAACTGATCATCATTTCAATTCTTTTCCACCCCATCATCCTCATCTATCCACAAGATTTCATCTCATCATTTCAATTTTTTCCCACTAATTTCCACTAGTAAAATTCCTTTCTATTCGGTCATGAAATTCTATTATTTCTCCTATAGTCATAACCCATTATCCTCAACGCTCTCAATCTTATTTATTAATTCGAGTTTATTTTTGGTTTCATATTATCTTTGTTCCTATCAATTTAAACTCAAATTTCAATTATTATCTTCGGTTTCTATTTGCATAAATCTATTTCTATTTGGATAAATATAGAGAAATTAAGGTGCTATATCTGGATATCTATTTAAGGGGATCGGCATTTGCTGAATCTTTAGCTTTCGGTGCACTGATTTAATGGGTTTTTTTAATTTTAATTATTATTATTGTTGTTGTTGAATGACGATTTAAGTCAATTAATTCCTTGGATAAAAATAGAATTAGCATTCGAATTCAATTTCGTTTGTCTAGATTGTGGAGTGCTAAGCCTGATAATGAATGCAGATAGGATTTTGTTGGTATTGATCAGAAGTTAAATTTCTAACATTATACTCAGTTTTTATTTACTTATTTTAATTTTAATTATTATTTTATTTTATTTTTTTTTGTGTGTGTGTGTGTTAATTGTCTCCAGGGAGACTCCATTCATGAAGATTTTGTCTGAAGGGAGGATATAAATATAATCATTAATCATTTTATTGTGGTGCCGGCTTTGAACTATCGACCACTATTTCAGGATTTAAGGATAGGCGCCAATGTAGCTAGCTACACAGTTTAAACAAGAAGTTAATGATATTTGAAGCTAATGATATCTATGAGATTGCCATGCATAAATTTGAGTTGGTGTCTTTTGTAAAATGCAGAATTATAGAATTCAAGTTGTATATATGATATCCCTCTAATTAGCTCATTATCAAATTTTTTTCTTCCCCTATTTCTAGATTACCACCAAATTTTGTGTAAATGTTGTTGAAATATGGTTGCCTTTTCTTTTTAATTCAGCTGTGAACTTCTTCAACCAAGTGAACCTGCTTTATAGTGCCCTCACAGAGTTCTGTACCCCTAAGACTGCAGGCCCTAATTTAATCTTCACAGTAGAAAAATAAACACAAGACAACCTAATAAAACTAAAAATTTGCCATGTTTAAAAATTTACCATGTTAAACTAAGTTTCCATTTTATTAGTTTAATTAGTTTTATCAAAAAAAATATTATATAGTTCAGACTAAGTTGGGGGAGTTCCCTAATATTAAGTGTTCTCTCCCTTATCCAATGGTTTTTGTTTGGTAGTCTTGTACAATCCAGACTATAAAACAATGAACTCTAGTTTTGTTTGGTTTAATTAATTGCATTGTCTTTATTTTTCTCTATTGAATCAATGTAGGTTGATTAGTGTTGGAATTTAAATATTTTAATAAAAAATAAAATAATATATTTTATAAATTAAATTTATTGTCTCATTAAGGACCTGATCAAACTAATCATTGTAAGTTAATTACCCTACTTAAGGGCATATTATTACATAATAATTGCCTAATTTATCCCTATCATTAACCTACAAATGAGAGTTATAAGACCATAAGTCCTATAAATAAGACATGTCTATTTGCTCAAAAAAAAAGAGGGTTCCTCCACATTCTCCTATTTTCCTTACTTTACTTTATCTTCTAAATACTTTTGGGCAAAGAAGAGTGTTTTGAGTAAGGTGACTCTGTGGGTAGTGTAGATCTATAGAGTGTTATTAAAAAACTGTAGCATCTTAGGGACGACATGCTATATATATCTCTGCTGCATTGCTCGATCTACTCTCCGTAGAGGTGTGAATTGAATTGCCTTAAAGTAAGTAAACTTTTCACGCCTATTTTGTTGTTATTTCTTAATAAGTTCACTAATTATTATTTTATTTGATTTTGTAACCGAGGCACAATAATGACATGATGTGGAGATAGAGGAAAGTGTTTGAGGAACAACAATTTTAAGGCGTTTCAATACGCAAAGCAAAATTGAAACATATGCCACATTATGTAGCAAAAATATTATTTGGGTTAATATATTCCGAAAACGTAAGTTAAGTTTTTAAGCTTACGTGACCGAAGAACCATTTGTGGCAATAAAATGTGAGATGAGCGAATATGCTCTTATGAAATTTTGTGAGTAAATGAGTTTCTTCATAAACTCAATTATTTGAGAAATGTGATAATCATATATTTGAAATGCTCCCAATGTGGGAATTGTGATAACCCTGTATATTAGTTTTGGTGATTAGACTAATTGTGCCTAATTGAGATTTTGCATAGCATTTCTATTATACAATAAGGTATGATAGTGCTTAACAAAGCAAATGTGATATGCACTCCTATTATACAATAAGGTATAATAGTACTTAACAAATTAAATGTGATATGCATTCCTATTATACAATTATGGTATAATAATGTATGATGAAAAAATAATAATAAGGCATTTGAGAAAAGGGGTATGTGATGGACATTCCTATTGTACAACAAGGTACAATGAAGGTTAAGTTAAAAAATTCTTAAATACATGTCTCTACATGTATGGAAAGAAAAAAGGTGGTTCACTAGCTCAATTTGATATCAAAATTGTGGTACCATGAATTGAGAATTTGAGAAATATGTTTGTGAATTTTATGAGCTAGTAGACATGTGGGTTAATGTGAAAAGAAAAAGTGAGAAAAAGAATGAGTTAAATCTTTTATTACCCACTTTACCACCAACTAGGCCTTTGGAAACAAACAAGAGTTGGAGGAAAAAACTATGATCATAGTCCAAGGTCTACTGCTCATCGAGGGGAATGGGATTCAAGCCTAATAATGTAGAACTTCCGATGAGGATACCTAACCCGATTCTAAGAATTGGGTTTTGAATGGGAAAAATGAATCATAGAGAAGTTGTTGTTGAAAGATGCATCAATATTTGATGGAAAAATTTCCAGGCCCATTCATACAGTGAGGATGCATCTATCCCATAATGAATTGAGGGTTGAGTTTTATACTTTTAATGAAATTTGTAGCTCATTAAATGGGGTGTCTTAGTTATGGGAGCATCCTTGACAAATTTCACCTATGTGGGTGTCAAAGGGAGGTTGCTTTTA